GGACACTACTCCTCCGTCTCTATGGACAAGGATTGCTTTAAGCTTCGTTCGAATACAAAAAAGAAGCTTCTCTTTAACGTATCACAGGTTCTGACTCCATCCAGCAACCCTTTGAAATTTGAAAAGTAAGCGTGTTTCATATTTTTAAGTTTAAAAAAAATTTAAATTGTTACATTGCACATGTATCTGAATATACTAGTAAAGTCATGAAATTATGAGATAAATTGAAACATTATACAGTACTTATATACATGCATAATACTTGTAAATGTAAAATTAATTTAATTTTTATCTTCTACTTATTCTGTAGGTGTTTTGGGATTTTGATGGCTGTAGGTCAAGATTTACCTCGGAACAAGTTACACCTTTTGGACAATGCAGTAAGAAAGATATAGAGAAGACATTACTATTATACTCACATTATACATTTGCTCTCTCTCTCTTTCTCTCTTGTTCTCTTTCTCTCTCTTTCTTTCTACAGCAAGTATCTACTAACAATCTTCCAGAGTGTTCCATATTCACAGTTTCTGGTTTCTGGGACACTAGTCTACCTTCCCTAGCAATACTGAATGAAGACACTTCTAAATGTCAGTTTATGACAACTGTACATCTACATGTACATGTACACGTACATGCTAGTTTCTTTTTATGCATGTAACTTGAAAATTTGAAGTCGGAATCAGCTCAAGCTTTCTATGTAGCATAAGTACATCAATGTGTATCAGAAAATGTAATAAAAATTGGGGTTGATTTTGGAGCCATTTTTTGGAAAAAACCATGGGCTATAGCCTTGGGTACTTTTCAGATTTTGGCTACTTTTAAAAATGGCCATAACTTGAAAAGTTGAAGTCGGAATCAACTCAAACTTTCTACGTAGCATAAGTACATCAATATGTATCAGAAAATGTAATAAAAATTGGTGGTGATTTCGGAGCCATTTTTTGGAAAAAACCATGGGCTATAGCCTTGGGTATTTTTCAGATTTTGGCTCATTTTTAAAAATGGCTGTAACTCAAAAAATTGAAGTCGGAATCAGCTCAAACTTTCTACACAGCATAAGTACATTAATATGTATCAGAAAATGTAATAAAAATTGGGGGGTGATTTTGGAGCCATTTTTCTAAAATGTAATATTAAGACTGTCTCCACAATTATTGGTCTGTTCTTTCTCTCTTTCAATAGCTAAGCATCACTTCATCACAATTGCTGTTGATGCTGTAGCTCATAAAGTCAGTGAACCAATCAGAATGATAAGGTAAGAGAGAGAGAGAGGGAGAGAGAGAGAGTTGGTTTATCAATTATCACTTTAGAGAGGTGAAGGTTCGTATGTCAAAAGGTGAGACTTTCAGTTCGCTTCTTTCAACTTTAACAAGACGAAAACTGGCAGTGGAAACAATGATACTGTCACTAGAGAAAGTAAATATTATGAAAACATAATTTATTATTATTATTATTATTATTATTATTATTATTATTATTATTATTATTATTATTATTATTATTATTATTGTTATTATACATGTACTTGTATTGTTAGAATTAATTATGAATTTAACACTTTAAAATTTAGCTTGAATGTGTTTTTCTCTCTCTCTCTCTCTCCCCAGGTTCCTTCTAGTGATCAGTACAAGATAAAATCACTTAAAAGTATAAGAGAGACTTCATCTCCTTCGCCGTCTTTACCAAGAGGAGGAGAAAAGACAGAAGTTGGGAGGGTGAGTTCTAAACTATACATGTATATGTACATGTACATGTACTTGTTTTTTAAATTATAATAATTAAGAATTAAAATTTTTTAATTATAATAATTATTATAATTTTTTGGTTGCATTAAATAATTGATAGGTTGCATCTGAAGACTCACCTTTAGTGAGAAAGACGACGAAACACAAAGTGAAAGAAGTGAAGGACACTCCAGAACACGAGGACAGTGATCAAGGTAATATAAAAAGATTTACTGAAATATACCAAAGTGCACTAAAATGTACTAGAATATCCAGGAATATACTAAACTACTTAGAGTTATTGACTTTCTGGATGTGTAATTCATGTCTGAAAAAAACTGCAAAATTACATATACATGTACATGTACATGTGCATCTAAAAACTGCCAAATGTATTTTTATTGCAAAATCTCAAATTAAGCAGCTGTGGATTAAAGAACTAGCTGGATTATCTTATGCAATGTATTCATGCACCATTTTATCAATTTATTGTTGTTACAAAAATGTAACGGAACATTTTAAATGCAATTTTATTCTTTTTTTTAAAGTGTTACAAATGTATCTGAAACTTATTTACTACAATTTTATCTTCTTATTATTGTCAATTTGATGTACATTTACATGTACTTTTCCCCTATAAATTTATTTCTCTCTCTTTCTTTCTCTGTTGCTCATTTTCTCTCCTTTTTCTTTCCCTTTTAGCCGACGATGACGACATTTTGGTGAGTGGGTGGGGAGGCAAAAGCGAAGAGGATTTAAGTGACAATTTATTGAAACTCTGGAGCGACATGTTAGAGAAATGGGACGGGAGAGACAAGTGGGAACCTAAAGGAGAGAAAACCCGCTCAAGACAACTCATAAAACTCGTTCGAAAAGTACAAACTTACAATTTAAAATTATAAAATTGATAATTGATTTTTTTTCGTGTTATAAGGGTATCCCTGGCCCTCTAAGATGCCAAATATGGCAGATGTTGTCTGGAGCTGATAACGATCCACAACTCATCGAGGCTTTTAGGATACTGTGTACTAAAGTAGGTCACTAGTTATAAGCTGTAAATATGTACTAGGGAACATGTTGTTAGCAACTTCTGTGGTGACTTTGACCTTGTGACTAAACATAGAAATCTGCTCTATAATTTCTATTTATGAAAGAAGTTTATTAAAAGATCAAAGTAGCCGCAAAAGTTGCTAGCAACATGTTACCTGGTATACATGTATGTTCACTATTTTGGGTTTATAATATTGTATCAAGTTTCTAATATAATTCAATCTTTTTCTCCCTCTCTCTCTCTCTCCCCCTCCCTCTCTCTCTCTCTCTCTCTCTCT